CCCCCCTCTCTCTCTCTCTCTCTCTTTCGCACCCCCAATACCCCCCACCCATACCTCCACATCTCCCTCTCTCTCTCTCCCCTTTCCTCTTTCCGCAATCCAACCGTCACGCTATGAATAGCTTTACCGATGCATTCGCCTCGCGATTTGACGCCCACCAGCCGTGCGAAGTGCCACCTGTGGGGCCCGGGCAGGCCGGGGCAGGGCCAGGTGAGAGGGTGGCGGGGCGTCTCAAAGCGAAGGCTCAAAGTGAGGCCCCCGGGCAAGGCGGCCGGGGAGCTCAAAGTGAAGATCTCGGTGACGCAACCCCTGCGGTCCCCTTGTCGCACTTCAATAACTTCGCACCATTGAGCGGGACTACCCGCGGCGTGAACGCGACCAGGCCCGGCGTGGCGCGGCGGCGCGGGCGGCGCTCGGCACGAAAGAACTAAAATAAGACGTCTAGCTGGCCTAGGCCCGCCTAGGCGTCTGGCCGGCCTCTTTTCTGTCTTTGTTGCTCTCTACTGCTGCGCTGGCGGAGGAGAGCGAGAGAGAACGAGAGAGCTTTGTGTGGCCCGACGAAACGTCGAAATGGACGAGGCGCCCTAATGACACGAAGTCAGCCCGCTGTAAAACATCCCCCTCCCCTCCGCCTCGTCACGCCTCGCCGCCCGGGTTTTAAACGCGGGCCCCACGCTCGGACTGGCGAGGGAACCGTAGGGAACCCTACGCGACGGGGAGAAATGAATCTTTTCTCGAAACCAAACGTAGAAGTAGCAGACAGGAAACGTCTAGGGACAAAATACCACTCCGTCCATCGCCTCAACTGTGATATTGGTTGCAGAAATTTCGTGCCAAATGCGCACTTAGTTAGGGTTAGAGGTGGGCAAGCAAACAAGGGGATCGAATAAGAATAATCGATCCTATCGTTGATGTCAGTCCGTTGTTCGAGGTTCGCTCGGCGTGGTCATGCAGTGCTCGGCTAACGCTGTCAGCGCGTCGCAACAGGTGGGCTGCAGGACCCACCAGGGTGCAGCAGGATGGTGGCCTCGAGTCCTTATCGCTCACCCTCCCACCTCCCACCCCCATGTGGACGACCCTTATCTAGCCCGAGGCCGTCGAGACCCGCCCACGGCTGGCTGTGCCCGAATACACTCACGCGTGCAGCCAAAGAAGACACGAAGTACAAACCACAAAACAAAAATAATCACAAACAAATCAACAAACTTGTAGTATTGACTTGAGATGGTTTCGAATCACACCCGATGATAGACCGGATACACAACACAGTACAATTACATGGATATGCTCCGTAAAAACTCCTGGATTGTTTTCTCCTACAATACACGAGGCAGCTCTAACACGCCCACACACACGCACCCACCTACACGCACGCACACACACGCGGCACCGCACGCGGCGCACCGCCCCCTCACCTAGGAAAGGGCGCTCGCCTGCTCTCGCCTAGAGGCGCTGGCGCTGCGCTTGGAGCCGACCGGCCGACCTGTTCCCCTGAGCCTGGTTCCCCGGAGACTGGTCGAGCTCGGCGAGCTGGTCCCTGCCTCTGGGGCTGCGCCGGGCGGGGCGGCCGCGGGCGGCGCCCGGGGCTGGGGCCTGGGATCCACGGGGTGCCCCACGGTGCCCCACAGCCCGGCCGCCCCGCGCCGCCGTGGCTCGTGGCCCATAACCCCCTGCTCCCCCTCCCCCCTGACAGCTGTTGCGCCCCAGGCGTTAGCCTCCCCCCTCCTTTGCCCCTTCTTCCTCGTTCCCACACCAGCCGCGCGGCCAGACACCCTCACTACCTGGTACTCTGCCTGAAATATGCACCGACTCGTCTTAATTAATGCGCGCCTTTGTGAACATGAGATTCATGAGTTGGGAGTGGCGGTGGACGCGG